CCATTTTATGGAGCTAGTGAGATGCTCAACAAAAGGGCAGCCTATGTCATCGAGAATCCTATATTTGAACATGGATAGGCAAGCTCATCAGCCTTCTGAGCGTTAGAGCTTGCATTCTCCCTGAAAAAAAGATGTCCAATAAGTTCATGTGGACATCATAGGACTCCTGTAATGTGAACATACCACAAGTCCTGTCTAATTTTGCAGTTGTACCCTATGAAGAGACTACAGCTAAGAAAATTCATAAACTGTGTCATCATTCAAGCACAATAAATAGGTGCATAAAGATTAAAGTAAGATCTCATCATCCATTTTGTCTGGGGACATCAGATGAAAGCAGCCAATAAGTGTGGCACGCTCCTCGTGTACAATATACTTAGTCCAGTATTCATGAAAATCAATTTACATCATTCCACTTTTCCTGACAAATAGCAGCTGTGTTGTACACTCATCAGAGTCAAGTTTGAACCTAAAACTTTCGACTCATCTGTAATCAATTATTATGAACCTACTGAGACTTAGGGAACTCAATTAGAAAGGGAATAGAATTAAATTTACAACAAACTAATTGCTGAAACCTTCAACAATAAGAAACTTCAGAATCAGGTTTATTCCAACATATTTATCAACATCTGAATTATTTACGTCATAGTAGCACGAAAAAAAAAGGTTGTCAGAGTAGATTATCATCCATTAATATGTGGCTTGCATTCTTGCATTACTTGTTAATCGTGCAGATCAGTCGTGCTTAAACACAGTTCAAAAGAAAATCTCTCTTCAAATAAAAGTGTAAAACAAGAGATCATGTAATAACAAAACACGAGACACAAACACATCCCTCAAAATTTGATTATGATTTAATTGATGTCATGAGAATGATGGAAATGAGAGGCAACAAACCCAAAATAATAAAGCTAAGTATATACACACCACAGTTTAATTGCACTTAAGGTCCTCAATCTTTACTCATTATAACGTCTCTCTCAAGTTTTTTTGTCACATTCTTATCATCGACCTTCCATTAACTAGACCATCTCATCATTCCACCCAAAAAGTCCATTGGGAGGTAAAACGACTTATATGCACATCACATTTTTAAAAAACAATAAATACAAAAGTGGGACAAAATATTTTCTGTTCATTTCAAAGCACGTAAACAGAATATTTTGATGGCAATCTTCGTTAAAGACAAGATGTGCTAATTAATGGAAAGTTTGAGATAAGAATTCAAGGAAAAAATTAGTAGCATAAATTCTACAATGGGCAAAAGGTTGAGGACTTCAAGTGAAATTAAAATGTGTACCAATGAAAACTTTGGTTCCAATAGCCACCCAGATCAAAATCACATTTTTGTTGAGAAGGAATTAGACACTTTGACGTGCCCATATCTCAAAACAGCTTCTGAGTCACTGTAACATAGTTTCAAGTTGAAACATCACAGAAATTATTATCACGTGACCAAATTATACCTGTGTATCAGAACCTACTGATGTAGCATTTTCCACAGCTTTTACAAGGTCGACGTTATTCACATTTGAAGAATCGGTGGCAAGGGGAACATTCCTTTCTGATTCACATGTGGACTTCGACTTCTCAGCTGCTTCAGCCTTTTTCATGAATTCCATCTAAATGTTAAGAACGGAGAATATGCAGGCTAGTTTAGAAGCCATATTAAGTGCAAAGCATATCTTACATGGCAAAAGGCGGTTATCAATTCAGGTCTCAATATACAAAATCTAGAACCAGGTCCAGTATAGTTAGCATCACGAGGAGTGACTCTCATCAAGTCCAAGAGATAGTGCCTGAAAAGAAAAGATTGAAACAAGAAGAAAAGGAGATACAGAGTTAAGAGAATGAAGAAGGTCTAAATTATGAAGTCACTTCGGCAGTTGTTGATACTTAATATACACTCATACGTTTAGTCTTTAGAATGCATACTACGTCTGAAGAAGGAAGCTATAAGAGATGAGGAAGGAATGGAAGTTCTAAAGGTCCGCTTAGTGCAAACTTTTACTGTGCATGACATCACAAGAAGATCAAATTCTAAATGTTGTAGATAGCCTAACAACTCAAGAGAACCACCATCAGAATTGGATTACTTCCATTCCAATTCTTCGACGATGGTCAATTAACAATTCCCTAACAACTCAAGAGAACCACCATTCTAATGACAGCAATCACCTGTCATCACTACCAACAATGCCCTTGCATTCCACTGGTGCAGCTAGTTTGAAAACATTTCCAGATCCATCAAGGACAGTGTGCTCTTTCAGATGGAGACGTTTGGCAGCTTTCACAACCTAAAAATAATCAAAGATTTGGCATAAATGGCAGAGCTAATGGATAATACAATAAATGTTGCAACATCGGCATGAAAGGGCACTACAACATCAGGAAAAGAGAAGACAATTTTCTGTTCCAAGTTTTATCTCCAAATGTCTAAGGCCAGAAGGGAGAGCGTTACCAGAATGCAAAATATTGATGTGGCCAGAATTGGGAGTTAAAATGCATTACTTCTGACTATGATTTTGGGATTTCAGCTTCATGCTTATGAGAAACATTATGACTCCAATGGCCAATAAACTCAAGTACACAGAATGCTCAGGCATGTGCATAGAAGCGGCATGCTAAAGCCTTGCACACAAAGATGAAAGGAAATAAAGTCCACTAACTCCATCAGGCATCAGCACACCTATTTTTTAACATAATCATCATTTTAAAGAAGTCCACTTATCCGGTACAAGGTAAATTATTTTAACAGCTAAAACATCTTTTAAATTTTTTCATATGAAACTGTACCGAGCGTACAAGCATGAGGTGCTATACATCTAGAGCACATGCTTATAAACTCTGATGCTACCAGGTCATCGAGTGTTCCCCATCCCCAATCACACCCCAAAAAGAAAGTACTAGGGTGGTTGACAGCAACAGTTACTTTCACAGGCTTTTTGATACAATCAATGGAATGTCTCAGTCATTTCCTGGACTACGCAAAAATTAAGTCAAGCGAGGATGTAAATCCATTTTTGTTTATAGAAACGGCATGAAACTCTTTAAAGTTGAGGAGTCGGACCATAAGCAAAATGAAGTTCTACATTTCTAAGGGAATCAATTAAATGAACTTTTTCCATCAAGCTATGTTAGCTGAGTCAAGAAAAAACAGACCACCAGTGCATAAGCAGATACTGCAGAAAAAAAAACTATAACAGGCAAGAATTAAAGGAGCAGAGCTACACAAAGAAGTTACAGGATTCAAAAGTGCTACAAGCCTGCAAGTATTCAATGTCAAACTTCTGTAGATAGATACTTTACAAGTTAAGTCAGAGATATATGGAGGAAGCTAGAGAACCATGCAACAGATTATTAGAAAAAATGCCGCAAGAATCAATTAAGATAAAATTGACTTGTAAAGTCTGTTCATTTCCTACCTTGGAATGAAAATCTTCATTCCAGCAAATTTTCTTGCCATTGTCAACCGAACCATACAAAAGGGAGTCTGATTTATCCCCTTGAAGGATGCCGGGCAAGACACTCTGGCCAAGCAGAAAAGAGGAAACAAATAAGTAAAAGAATAAATTTTATAGAGGAATCAGCGTCCGTCATCATAATATTCAAAAGACAGGATTTCGCATCTCTTAACCAAAATTTTGTAGAAAAATCAAACCAAACAAATGATCATCATAAACCAACAGGACGGGAAGGATCATGACTAAAAATACACAGTTTAAGGGTGAAGAAAGAAAACAGGAACAAAATTGCAAGCAGCCAATAATAGCTAATGTGATTAAAAAAAAAAAAACAATCATGCAAGAAGCTGATGATAATAGGACAAAATCGAGATTCTTCCTCAAAATCCTACGAAACTGTTCTATACCAACCAATATTACTTGTCACAAACTTAAAGAAACCCGTCAAAGATGGGGATATTAAGCTCTGCACCTGTGCTACTACTCTATGACCTCTGTAATCAATAATCGCCATAGCAAGATTGTACAATCCAGGAACATCAGCTTCCTGGTATGCCTTGGTGCCTTTCAAATCATTATTTGCACTTGCATATGTGGCTTGCTCACTTTCAGCTAACTGAGCCTCAGCGGGCATGTCAGGAGACAGCGCCTCTTCGCCATTACTATTTTCTGCCTTGGGGACACCAGATTCATCCCCATCAGAAATGCTAGATGTACCTTGTGGCACATTGCTGTTTGACTTTTCACACAAACTCTGTGAAAGAGCAGTGTTCTCAATCTTAGAGTTATCTGCCAATGCTTGCTTTCTGGGCAACTGCTCAAGGTCCGCATCAACAGCAAAACTAAAGAATATATTGTTGTGAACATACCTAGAACAAACAACAAAACAGATATTAATATAGCGCGGCAAGACGTAATGGGAAGAGCAAAAAGATCAAAAATAAATTCCGTAGACACACGCACCTGCTACCACTGAAGAACATTCAAAAAATTCAAATAGTAGATTCTAGAAAAATCATTTCTAAGATTGATAAATGATACAAATTGATGAGATGAAGTGACTAAAATTAAGTAGTCACGGCTGTAATATTGAAATCTATCATTAGTGTTCGGTTGTGGATGGTTATGAGAAAAAAATTGGGAGGGACCAGCATTTCCTTGGAACAATTCCACATTTTATTTTAAAATTCCTTCACTTTGAATCTGTTTAGGCAAATGGCAAGCATCACTTTACCCTAAAGAAAGGTAATTGAGGTTATATTTCCAAATAAACGGAGTACCAAACAAAAACATGGAATGTACTTTCTAACAAGAAAAAAAGTAGCATCTGATGTGAAAATTAAAATGACATGTAGATAAAGTAAAATGCAAAAGTAAAAATCCAAATATACTGGTGCTAGGCTGGAGATGATCTCCAGCAGATGTATGTAGGGTGGTGAAACTAGCACACGCAAGAAAACAGATTTCAAGCATCAAATGGCAAAAGAATATTCGCTATCAAAGCATTTCAAATGTTTTAATATTTCAGTTAACACTCACATGTGAAAGCACTCTGGATCAGTTGGATTGATTGGTGGAATACATCTGCTAATCACTCCAATGGCACCACTAGTTGCAGCATCAACGAAGTCAGAGGTCACTTTGTAGAGAGCTCTATCTCTTAAGATCCTACAATTCAAAGGGCAAGTATCACAACTAAGTTAATATCTTCACACTATCAGCCTAAACAATGTCTATTGTGAAACTAAATGAGATGGAGTTGATTTCACAAGCATCAATCCAGCAGCAGGAGCAAATGATAAAGAAGTGCACCTTTCCTGAGGTGTTGTGTGTGGGAACTCACGACAAGACTGCAACTCTTCATTCCAATCTCTCTGCATGCCAATCAGCTCACTTCCAAAAGAAAGAGTCAGAGAATTTTCAGCCCTCGATGCATCACGTTTGTGATCTGAAACCGGAATTGTCCATGAGAGGATTGTTAACTCTAGTGAGGAATGTAAATTGTATGAGACAGATCTACGGTGCAAAACTGTTTATATATCTAGAATTTTATCTCTTCACAGTTAGCATAGTGTTTAATGCAGCCATTGATTTTCCCACTATTTGAATTTGCACTGATATACATATTTATCTTTTAGTAATCAAGTAACAGAAGCTATACACAAGTACATGTACTAAGGATAGTGATATATTGATGTTCAAAAGGAAGCAAACTCAGCAGTGACATGGCAATTCGCAAGGAATACTTGGTGAGGGGCAAAATACTAATCAAAGCATTTTCACAAACATACGTTCTTTCTACAAAGACAGGACAATGGGAAAAGAGTACTGTATGAATGCCAAAAAATGTTGGGTGGGTAACTAAAGAATGGATATCATTTGGAATTCATATTTCTTTGTGCAAAGGAAATAGACAATGATGCAAGAGGGAACTTTGCAATCTTTGAAAATTGTTAAACCTGGAATAGTGGACTGTTCTTAAGGGCTTCTTTTGACCAAAAAAAGGGGAAAAAATAGGCCCATGCATTAGCTCATCTTTCAATAAAACCAGGAAGTAAACAAGCAAACCATCTAAAAAAAGGGAATGGACAAAATTTCAACATTTCAGTTTTTCTCCTCTATGACCCACAAGCATCCAATTGACTGTAAAAAAAAATTTAACTTACCAGGAACAGGATACAATCCAAGCCATGAATTAGGTGGCAACAGAGACTGAACATTTTCAAAAGGATGTGCAGAGGCCTTCTGCTCCAAAATTTCACGAAAAGCTTCAACATGAAAAGATCGGGTAAGTGATAAATTACTTTATAGGCAAATTATATATTTGGATTTCAAAAACATGTAAGTTCATTAGCTCCACCCACATCATTGTTACCTTTCTTGAACTTGGGGCTAATCTTCTGCAGAAGTCCAATAAGGGTTGTTGCTTCAGAAGCAGTTTTGTTTGGCCTTGGATCTAAAATGTTCCCCGAGCTCGAGTTTACATAAAAACCCTTGGTTGTTCCGGTTACACAATATTTATTTCCTTCGAGGGTCAACACATCCAAATAGATCAAGTCTCCAGAAAGCCTGATGCAACAAAATGGTATTCGATACATCAGCGTGATTCTCAACCGAAAGCAAAGTGTCAGGGAAACAATAGTGTTCATGAAGTTAGTGCTATATAACGTGAAGTTGTCTAGGAATGAAGAAAACCTTCTGTAGCCAGGAGGAGGATTAAACGAAGAGAAAACAATACTCTCCACACATTTGATCTCTTTGGAAGGCAATGACAACAAATTAGTAAGTGAAGCAGAGACGTTCTCCATAAAACCCAAATTGTCAAGTTCTCGCACTTCAGCTTTTGCAGCATCTACATGTACAGAAAGGTTGTTATGAGTTCAGTCCATAATAGCTTCCAGGTCAAGTAGATAAGATAAGAAGTGCACGTATTAAAAGGATAGAAATCATCATCCACATGAGACAAACATGATAGGCTAATTGCAAACCTCCTAGACTTGCAGATGTTTTTTGCCCCGTCTCATGTTGTAGTGCAAGCATCGTGGACAGAGAAGAATGCAATGTTGAAAGAGAAAGCAACTCTCTTGTGCGATGAACATGAGCCCTGACGGATCTATCATCATATAACGCTGCAAGCAGTAGCTTTACGTAAGAACCCATGTGCCATTCTTTGCAAAAGCATATAATTTCAACTGCTAGTCTTCTTAACAGAAAATATATATCTTCTGCAGCATTTGTGCATGTTTAAAAAGGTGACTTTGAAAATTGAACCAACTGCTTTTGTCTTCCAAGAAAAGTCTCTTTTATAGCATGCATCCAAAAGGTATTTCACGAATGATCAGTAGATGTAATTAATTAACTGATATTCCTATACGAGTATTGGTGAGAGAAGAAACCAAGTTGAAAGAATTAGGCATACCAGCAACCATCTCCAGAAAGCAGTTTCCAAAAGTGATATCAGCAACTTCAGAAACTTCATTATAATCTTCTAGATGATGAACAGAACCATCCTTTGTGTGCAGTAACAAATCATAGCAAGTAAAATAACACGTCTCAGGGGCATCAAGAAGAAATTGCCTCACATCCATCACAGAATCTCCAGGGCTCAACTGTAAAGACCAATCGATTTCTTAGACCTTAGAATGAAGTTTCAAACAAGCTCCATGATAAACATATTGAGGTTGACTGGTGATTGATTAAATAACTCCAGTGGTAAATGTGTGAAATAAGAGTAAGGGAAGTATTAAATTCCGCAGCTACTAGAAAGGAAAGAGTTAGATTTGGTAGTGAGAAGAAATCAGGTGATATTCTTGTTTCAAATTAAGAGTAAATCCACTTACTTGAAGCTCAAGCTTATCGCCTCCTTGTGTCTTTACAGAAACAGGATAAAGTTGAATGTCAGCTGCACCATAAGACAGAGTTCCAGTTATATTCATATGTATATGAAATGTGTCTCCTTATGTGTGCACATGTTGAATTTATATTTAGCGGCAGAAACCCCCATCCCCCTTTCAATAAATGAAAAGAAAGAGAGGCTTCAATTATTGTACACAGTTCGCATACAAATGCCAGTGAAATTTGACAAATAACAGTGATCACAAAAAATAAAAGACAGCCAATGTTTGACACAGACATATTTGGAACGAATGGGACTGGCGAAAGATTTGAAACATAAATTAAAATCTGGCGGCAGTTTTTAATAAGAATTCGAATTCCAAGGCTTTAGTTCCATCCCACCAAATGAATTAATGCAACAGTTAAATCAGAACAGTGCACAAAAAGAACATCAAATTTTCAAGATTCATCGGTTTGGTATTGAATAGTAGTACCCGGGTTTTATATCTTTATTCTAAAAAGTGAAAACAACAATAAGCTACATTTTATAATTAAAGGAAAACCTGGCATAATGATGTTACAAATGAGTGAATTTTGTTGCTCGAAGACAAAAGTTCAAAAAATAGCATATAACTCACCTTGCTTACGCTGGGTCTGATTGGATGCATTTTGCTTGTCCTTCACCTCAGAGTCCATGTTAGTTGAATCAGTAGCAGTGACAGTTCCATTTGCATCGGAACCATTCGAGCTACTATTCAATGGAACATCAGATGATGGTGTCTGCTCTAAAGAACTTGCAGCACTTTGATGTGACCCTTTGCGATTCTTCCCCCTGTTCGATTTGCCCGCCATCTTATCCCCTATCAGAGTTGCAAAGAGTAACTGTCAGTCTTTAAATTCCAGCTAGGAGTCAAATAATTGGCAAGCTGGGAATCTAAATAAACTCGAGCAGTGCATATGGTTCAAAAATGACATATTAAACCTACTAATATCTTCTCCTTTAAAATTCCAGCTAAGAGCCAATGATTGGAAAAGCAAGAATCTAAATACGAGTGTGTTAGCAAGTGTTCAATTCCAAGAAAAGGCATATCAAACCTACTAAAAATATCACTGTTTTCACATCCCAGTTAAGTAATCATCATTTAATAAGAATGAGAAAAAAATAAGCTTTTTCATCTTGTCCAAGCTTATTTTTCTTTCTACTTTAACCATTAAAAGAATTACATAAAGTCAGACAGCTATCTCTCTCCAAATAAAGACCAGGCTACATATCGTCCAAACACAAAATGAACCAATCCCTTTAAGTTCAATCTTACACTCAGACCATATAATTAATCCCATATCATGAAAATAAAAAATTTCAAAAACAACCCTAAAAAGCCAATCAGTAAGTAGTAACCATATTCTCAAAACCCAATTAGCCTATGAAGCATACCTTACAGTCTCATCCAGATAAACAAAATACATGAACAAAAGTCAGCACCAAAACCTTACCGCAAAAAAATCTAAGACAGACGTCCCAAAATCATAAAATCACAAAAAAAAACAATACACCACAAGGGTGTGCAAATGTATGGACGTTATGAAAGTAAAAGTTAGTAAAAATAACAACAAATGGCTTATACAGTAACTATTAATAACATTACCTGCGGGGAAAGACAAGAATCAGAGCTCAAAAATATGATTGGATTTCAAGAAACGGCGAAATAAACCGTGTAAGATGTGCGGGCAAATGGGTTTTTTTGGGTTTAGGGGTTGAGGTAGGTTGAAGAAGCGAGGGGAGAGAGGTGGCTGAGAGACGGCGGATTCTTTTTCGACTCCTTTTTATACGCTCTTTCATTTTGATTGATGATTAGTATATTTTTTGGTATTTTCGAATTAATTTTAATTATCTGATCGAAATTGGCCCAGATAACTGATGGAATTGGGCTGTCTATGGGCCTAACCCGAATTAAGGACTGTTTGAACAGGTTAATAAAATGGGAAAATTACCTCAAAACCTACCTCTAAATTTCAATTTTAAAATCCAGATTTTAGTAGTTTTGTTTTCAATAATCAAGTCATAATTATCTCTTAATTATAATATATATATATATATAATTTACACATATATATTATATACGTACTGACTACAGTTATCATCCCTTATCCCATCCTACCCAACTACGCCATACCCTACCTCCACCACATGTAGAAAACTTTCTTTCTTTATCATTTCCCTCTTTACCAACTTACCCCACACCCCCACCTAGCCCTACATCTTTGTATCTTCTGATCAAATTGATGGAAGCTCATGGTAGCAATAGATGCAGCATGGTGTGGGGATGTCGAAGAAGGTGGTTTACGACCATGGCGCTCACTGCCAGCTCCAAAACTTGAGATTGAAATGTGCATGTTTGGCTGGGTGCGAAGAACAAGTTTGTAAAAATTAGATTGTGTATGTTGTTTGATGATATATGACCATGAATAGATGCCCCTCGATAGGGACGGATTTAGGATCGAAAAAAAATTACACATGATTTTTCTTTACATAATTTTTTTTTTCTAATTAAAAAAAATTAGTTTGGGGGGAGGCCCCCCCTAAATCCGTCCCTACCCCTCGATGAGTATGGTTGACTAGTGTGGTGGTACCGACGTGAGCATCATCGGAGAAGGTGGTATCAACTAAAAAAAGTCCATAGCTACTAGTTTTTGGCCTAATTTTTGGTGTGTTAAGGACGATATTAGACCGGAATGTTGGTCGGGGTTTGTAGAGGAGGTTGAGGTGGTTATGCCGGTGGTAGAGTTCGACAAGTTGGGTGGTGGTTGGCCTGCTATTGGAGGCTTCAAAGGTGGTGCTCCGCTGCTTATAGCTGCGAACGGTGTGATCTACATGTGATGGTAGTGGTGCGGATGGTAGTTGGAATTTGTTGAAGGTGTTGGTCATGCGCGTTTGATTATTAACGTAGTTGGGAGTGGTGGTCCCGAAGTAGTGGTGGCAATGAAAATTGGGTGTGACCAAGTCTATATTCATTGTGACTGTCTTTAATCTGATTGGTTGTGATCGATTATATGTTAATTGTGACTTTATCACATACCTTCACAGTTAAAATTAAATTGGTTACAAATAATGACACTGAAGACAAATTTGATTACAGTTAACCACGTTGAATACGAATTTGGTCATAATTAGTCACGAAAAAAGTAGGTTGGTAAATTGGTTACTTACAGTGACTTGGAAATTTTTTGGGTTGGGTTAGAGTGCGTGGGAGTGGGAGTGGGAGTGGGGTAGGGTAGGGTATGATATGATAGAGTAGGGTGGTTCATGGGGTGGGGTATAATATCTAGTTTTCAATTTGTAGAAATTTTTTTTATGTGGTGGGGATGGGAAATGGTGTAATTTCCAGTTTTCAATTTTTTAAAAATTTTCTGAGAGTGGGGTGGGGTGAATATGTAGATTAAATTTATTATTACAATTATTATTTACCACATGATTTATGAAATATTTTAAGGAGTTTGGTAGTTGTGAAATGAGTTTCCTATATGTAGGAGTTATCTATTGTTCCCTAATAAAATTCATTTGAATTCATTAACACGAATATTAAACATATGTTTGGCTTCCATTTTTTTTATAAAAAAAACTTGGGGTCTGTTCTCTTTATCGTTTTCAAACAGTTTTCTATTTTCGATTTTCTAAAACGGTGAAAAAAGTTCTCTTTCCTATTTTCGAAAAAGCGTTTTTGAAAACAAGTTAAAAATTTGTCGTTTTGAGTATTTTCAGTTATATAATTAAGCCAAAATTTTCAAAACGCGTTTTGGGTTTTTTCAATCGCTTGAGAAAGAGAGAGAGGAGAGTGGAAAGTAAACGAGTTCTTTTTTTTTTAGAAAATAATTTTTCAAAATTCCAAAAAAATATATTTTCAACAATCTCAAAATGGTCACTCAAAATACAAAACTCAAAATGAATTCAAAATCAAAACACAAAATTGAAACACAAAGAGAACAACCTCTTATTTTTCAAAACTCATTTCCAATAACACATTTCCCATAAAATGATTTACACATAAATTCAATTATTTTTCTTCTTTTTTAACCATGGATTCTCCAACAAAATACTATTAAAAATGTATTTTAATAAAAAAAAAATAGGTTCAAACATGGGCTAAATGAATTTATATAAATTCATTAAATGAAGTCAAAATAAAGTTTGAGTTTAGCATACATCCATTAATGAATTTTAAAAATCTATAAATTTAGGCTCAATTACAATCTACTTGTCCCAACTACGATTTTAATAAATTTTAATGAATTTTGGGTGCTCCTAATAAATTGTGAATATCTAAGGATTCAATTAATTGGAATAATATTAGTAAATTAAGTGTATTTCGTGCATATAAATATAAATACCAAATTCTTTAGAAATTTCATTATGACCCCTCGGAATCCATAGGCTTTTTGAGCCCACAAATATATGTCAAGTACTTGTACATTTGAATATAAAAGTAAAGGAAATTAAATTAAATTAAATTAAATAAGAAATATATAAAAATAGCAATAAAATATATCATTGTTAATCGCACTCTGAAATTTAAAGTGGGAGAGAAAAGAAGATGAGGTTTTTACTACGTTCCTATTGGAATTTGGATCGATTTTTTTTTTTTGGTCAGCTAAGAACAAAAAATGAATTAGTTCGTTCTTCTTTTGAGACCCTATTCATGAACTAAACGTATCTTTATAATGAATAATATAACATATATTTTTTATATAATTATCGACACTGTTATGAAAACAGTTTTAGCCCCTGTTTGATATACATTTGCTTGATTTTATATATTAATGAAATTAGCTATTTTAAATGACAAAGTTATGAATTTTTTTAGTAACGATAATGCTATGAATTTTAATTTCTAATTGAAAAGATAGAACTCTCTTTTTTGGTCATTTTATTGTAACTTTAAAAATCGATAAAAATAAAATTATGTGGTAATCTATTCAAATTCACGAATCTTAAAAAATCGATGAAACTTGAGTTGATGACACCATACACCCCGTTAAAAGTGTTGGAGCTTTATTTTAAGCATCTATTCTTTAAAATAAAGAGTATCACATAATCTATCAAAAACGTTCCAAGTAGAAAATCAACTACCTTTTGATCCCATTTTTTAAACTCATTTTTTTCAAACTTGTTAGGTCCAAAATGTATTGACAAAATTCGTGTCCAAAATGTCAATTTCATCGAGTTGTAATTAGGGTTAAGTTGTCGGCGG